TCCTTGTTTAATACAGAGGAATTTCCAGGTCAATCAGATACATCATAGAATGAAGATTTGTAACTTTCTATGAAACCAAAGCTAGTACCATAAGTGTTGTAGGTACCAAAAAAAAAAAACACAGAATAGCACACCTGTTGTGCTTGGTACCTATTAGGGAACCAGAACTTAAAGAACACTCAAAGCTTTGCAGAGCACCCTAAATTACATCAATGTAATCATCATTTGACACCATCCCTGCATGCCCAGCATGTTAAACAACGCACAACGGCACAAATTCACATCTATACTTAAAAATTAATAAAATAAATATCATTAAATAAAAAAATTAAAATTAATTTTTTTATTTTTTATATAAATCAATAATAAAAAATATAATTAAAATAAAATGTTAGAAAATTCTTATTCCTAATTTTATTTTGATATGAGGATTTCATTTTCTTTGTTGATGACCCATTTGGTCTGAGGAAATTGTGATGGGATATGACAAAACATTTCCTAACTGCATTTAATCAGAAAGGAAACTGAAAAATATCTCAAAGTAACAAATCCCTGTGATTTTTGCATTTGGTAGGGTATTTACTATTTTTGCATTGAATTGGTCCAATTGGACATCACTTTATTATTTATATAAAAAAAATCTTTTGCAATGCCAATAATGTTAGAAGACAATAAATTTTCTTATATGGGTACTATATCAGGATGGCAATGTGGCATGATTGAGTGGTTTGATACTTTGATTGACATTTGTCTTTCTTCTGGTAGTGAAGAAGGTTATCCGCAATTGATAAGCCGCAGAGTTGGCGCCATTGACTCCTAAACCTACCCAACTCGGATTGGGGTTTCCCACTTGAGCCTTGACTAGTTGGTGATGGCATTATATGGGTCTCATATAACATTTCAGCCTCAAATTACTCGCAAAATTTGAGGTTTGTTGGATCTGCATTATCTTACAAAATTATTTTGTGTCCGGGCTGAACATTTTATGAGCTCATATTTGTGCACTCTCCAATTGGTCAGGTGAGTTGAAAATGTATGGTTCAGGGAGAGCTCATAAACGGTAAGTGACTGAGCACATCAAGGCGCCTTCTATGTAGACTTACCCTTTGCTCATAAAATAGGCTGTTCATGGAATTTAAATGATTTGTTTTGAAACGAATATCATTGGAGTTTTTCATGAGGACTTTTTATCCCGAATGATTTGAATAATTGATTTTTCTTTGTTTAGATGGCAATATAAGCACTAGGAAAAACCTTAAGAAGATCCTTTTTTTCATAATGAGTTTATTTTATTAGCTTTTTCGTTGCCGTCTGAAGTAGGTGGGGTAGGTGGAAATTTTTTTTTTTTTGGGATTTAACCGGTGTTAGATTTAAAAATTTTATGAAAAATTATTTCCTCTTTAATTTCTTTATAGAATTGAATTTTTTACTTTAACTAAGCCACAATTTTTTATATATGGTAGGTGGATTTTTATTTACATACTTGCAAGTTATGGAATCAAATTTGCCAGAGACAGATAGATAACATCTGTCCAGCTCAAACCATCCATGACCCAGCCAATACAAATTTTAAGCGTTAAAGCAATCCTTGCTGTACCTCATCGCACCTGATTCCAGACCCAATATTCTGATCCACAATGTCTGGTACATCCGTCCTAAAACACAGTGACCACAATGTCAACATGGAATGGACAGTTTCCTTATCGTTGTCCACACAACGCAAGCCTCTCTTTTCACCACATCGCTCCTCAACCGTCCAATTACGGACTCCTTGTAATTAAGAATCTGCTCCCCTTTTTCCCTCAAACCAAGCCTTCTCCCCCAACACGTAACCCACAAGAAAGCCAACCCTTTAATCCGACGGCCCTGATCCGTCCCAGCACCGCCTATAGACACCTCAGATCCAGATAGAATCAATTCCAACCCTCTCCCACATATCTGACTTTTCAAGACAGAAATTTTTATACAAGCTCCTTATTTAAAATCCAGGAGAAGCCAA